CCACAGCTCTGGCCTATGGATATTGTTTTGAAAATTAAGTGTAAATTAACTTTCTGCCTAACTGGCAGAAGCCACAGTTTTGTTCCTCTTCCTTTCCCTACTGCATTGTAGGCAGCCTTAGAAGCAAATTAATTTAGTTAATTCACTAGCATCAAACAGCCCTCCTAGGTACTGGTTTCTCCATGTATTTATGGATTTTTACACATACACACTCACACACACACACACACACACAACAAACACAGCAAAGCAAAGTTTTAGCATTATGGCATGATTACCAAATACATGAGTAATGTAGACAGAAGCAACTCTGTCCTAAGATAGCTACCCAGAATAGTATCAAAATCCAAATCCAAGGAATACTTGAATGGAACGGGTATGGGGAGGCATTAACTATCTTTTTTCTAATGGTGATGAAAGTCTCCCTGTCAACATAGCTTCTAACATCAGCATCCCACTAACATAATCATTTATTTCCTTCACTGTAGGGTCTTTACGGCCTGAAATTGTCAATGTATAAGCTGCGGCTTCTAGGTAGAATGAGTCCTTTGTCAGGTGCCTCTTACAGTTAGCCAGCCTCACAATGAGACTCATCCGAATGCTCCGTCGATCCTGGACTCTTGGCTGTTGTTCTTATGTCCTCTTGATGCCATCTAATCCTCATAATCAGTAGTTGTTACCAAAAATGTATGTTTTTCAATAGCAAGTAAATTGTAAGCTCTTCTTAAAAGTCACAGAGAAACAATAACTCTCTTTGGAAATAAAGGAGTAGCAGAATAAACAACTGTTTGGTCCATTGTTATTACCTCATTTCCTTCTGGAAGCATTTATTGTTTGAGCTTCATGAATAAAGTTGATATTTTTAAATAAGACTTCTCCATGATCCCAAGTAATGCTGGGTTCTCACAGTCTAGCTGGAAATGTGCCTACATTGTGCAATTTAGATCCTTCTCTTGTTTACAAATCCAAATTGTCTCAACCCCTGTTTTCAGTTGTGCCTTAAAAATGTCATCTTATAACCCACGTTTTCCCTCTGAACTTTTCTACACGTTGAGTTTTATAAAAGTATGAAGGATACGTATGTGATTACTTAGAATGAATAAGATCATAATCAATCCGCAAGATAGCATTATGTTTGTCCAAATATTCCTTGGAATAATCCAAAGAGGAAGTAAGTGTGTTTATCTATGATAATAACAGTACAACTGTATGGCAATCTAGTTAACTCTACTGTCATCTTTATCAAGTGGTATGTTTACTTTGTAGACAATCTGAGGAAGGAGAATCTATATTACGATATTAGTACAATGAACGCATACTTCTAAACACATTTAGCCTCCTGTTTCTCAAGCAAGATGATGACCTAAAACGCACTGTTTAGATATGTATAGGTATAGATTATTTAAGGTATGGAGATGTAATAGTACATTTAAGGCTCAGTTATTTCAACTCATCCAAAATTTTCAGCATTATTTATTTTTAAAAATATAAAATAGAATATTCCATTGAAATGAGCAAAAGACCCTTCTAAATTCTATGTATACATGTGTATAAGTGTGTGTATGTATGAGTGAGTAGATACATGTATGAAGGAGTATAAAGAGGATTAAATGTGGATTTTTTTCAACATTATGACTATTTAGGATTAATTTGTCTAGAAAAAATAAAAGAGGCAAATTTTAATGAAGTTAATAAGAAACAATTAACTAAAAAATTAAATAACCAGCTACCCATGCAAGAGCATATTTTAATTATTTTTCTATCGGCTGCTTTGTTCTTTCTTAAAGAAGTTGAAGAGACTGCAGTGTTGAAGGAACTGTTCAGTGCGCATTTGGATATAATATTATCTTCTTCCCTGACTCCAGCAAGTATTCTCACAGTAACTCAGATGAACCAAAGATTTCTCACAATCAGCAGAAACACAGAGGCAGGCATACAGACAAAAGAGCTCTGGTGTTTTTGCTTGTTTGTCGCAGAGAAGAGGAATGCAATAAATAGAAGTATAGAACCTAGAGCTTCACTCTCCCAGACTATCACAAGGATGAAGGAGAATTGGGTCTTTAATGCATACACAGTAGAACTTGAGGAATCTGCTGCTAACTGGCCAAGTAGGAAAGTGTTGCAGGATTTTTTCTTTTTTAAATACTTACTAGTACCTCCCACAGGGCTGTTCAAGGCACAACTCTGAGACTGTCTCACTGTGTCTTTCATCAGTCGTCACCTTGATCATAGAGTAATTGAAACTCTGATAACACCTAACATTTGTCTTTCCCATTAAACATTTTCCTCACACCAGTGTGGAGAAAAATCCCTTTGATAATTCTCCCCCAGATATTTCCACTGAAAATATTCCACTGGGGTTGGGCATTGTGGTGCAATGGGTTGGGCTGCTGCTTGAGACACCTGTGTCCTATATCCAAATGCCTACAATTGAGTCCTGCTTCTGCTTTTGATTCAACTTCATACTAATGCACATTCTGGGAGGTAGCAGGTGCTGGCTCAAGTACCTGGGTTCTTGCCATCCATGTGGGAGATCCAAATGGAGTTCCAAGATCTTGGCTTTGACCTAGCTCAGTCCCAGCTATTGTGGGCTTTTGGGAAGTGAATCAGTGGGTGGAAAGATGGGTTTCTCAATGTCTCTCTTTCCCTCCCTCCCTGCTCAGACACACACACACACATACTGGAAAAAATTCTGGGTTCCAATTCTAATTCCTTTGATTTTGTATTTGTGTCACTTAGGTCATGTTATTAAGTTTTACTGACATACATCTGAAAAATGGGGACAATCAGATGTTCTTTACATGCTAATCCAACCCCCAAAAGTTTGTTTTAAAAAGTGATAAATTTGAATCACAAGTACAAACATCTAATGTAATTCTTGTAGTCGTTTGTGTTACTCAACTGCCATAGCCATCCTGTGAGCATTTTCTTTATTTATTTTGACAGGCAGAGTTAGTGAGAGAGAGAGAGACAGAGAGAAAGGTCTTCCTTCCATTGGTTCACTCCCCAAATGGCCACTACGGCCCGTGCACTGCACTGATCCGAAGCCAGGAGCCAGGTGCTTCCTCCTGGTCTCCCATGTGGGTGCAGGGCCCAAGCACTTGGGCCATCCTCTACTGCCTTCCCGGGCCACAGCAGAGAACTGGACTGGAAGAGGAGCAACTGGGACAGAACCGGTGCCCCAACCAGCAATAGAACCCGGTGTGCTGGTACCGCAGGCAGAGGATTAGCCTAGTGAGCCTCATTTTCTTCATTTTAAACATGAAAACACTAAGGTCCAGAGAGATTAAGTGGCTTCTAGTGGTGGTGTTTGGATTTCATTAGCGTCTTGGAATTAGAGTTAATGGGTGCTTCTACTCTGCCCTCAATGAACTCTGCTCTATAGTTATAAAAATAATGGATGATGGACTAGTAGTGATAGCTTTGTACATAATGGATCACAAGTAACCAAAAATTTTCCTTCAAGACACTTAAACTCTTAGAGTCCTTTTGCTGTGGCAATAAAGGATTAACAAATAATAACCACCCCCAAACCAATGATCAACAGCAACAACCATGTTCTTAGAGCCACACTTCCCCAAGTGCTGCTGTAAAGGAAGCTTTACTAATTTGTATCTTTCTGCCAATAAAAGGGAGGTTACCTTGCTGAAGTTTTATGGTTTACACTTTGACATAGAAAAACTCACTTCTACAGTTTTTGCGGTAAATCTGTACCTTATAATTGAGATCAGCACTACTGTTAACCTTTCCATTGCCAGCACATAGCAATTACAGGATAACTACAGGGTAATTCTGGGGCTTTGTGTTGCTGAATGTGGGAGTAATTTGAACTGTTCTGACTGTAAATTGGAATTGTTTAACATATGCTTTCTGTGGATTAGAAATACATTTTAATGACTTATTTCACCTCTCTAAAGACATGATTTTCCCTGTTTTAAAAGTCAAGTGATTTCACGAGTACAGAAAATTTTGAACGCCAGTAAGATTTAAAATAAATCAAGAGACATTTTCTTCATTTAAAAATGCTTAAATGGTTTAAACTGAGCATAAAGCAAGATTCTCAGAAATATCAAATAATTGCAAGATAACTAGAATTTTTCTTGTGCAATAAAACAGATAAAAATATTCAATGAGTCTATATTTAAACTTGTCAAGTTCTAAATTCAATTAACTAAATTGCCAAATAAGCTAAATATCAAAAATTAGAAATGGAACTTGTTTCTTCTGGTATATTTACTGCTCTTTTCTTTCTCTCTTTCACTCAAGTACTACTTATTGCATACTTTGTGCTTATCTCATATTAGTTTCCAATCTTTAATTTTAATTTGTTCTATCTCATTTTTGATGAATTAGATGTATTTTTTGCAAATTCAATTTATTTATTCTTTTGTTATTATGGAGATTTGCTTTCTTTCTTCCTTATTATTTTCAGTTCTCCAATTACATATTTGCTTTCCTTTAGACCAGTAGTCCACTCTTTCTCTTCCTTACTTGATTAACTCAGAAGTCACTACCCTCAAAATCCCCCAAATTGGCTGAATCACATGTTGTCCAGACTCTCTAATACTAATAAAAGCATAGTTCCACGTAAGGTAGATTTGGAAAAGCAAATGAACTGCTCACTGACGGGTTGGGGTTAGAAAACAGCAATTAGAGCAATGAATACATTGTAAAAATTTACCGTGTGAAAATTCACTGAATTGATTCATATTTACTCTTGACCATGAAAGCAAATCAATTACCTGGGTCTTGGAATTTCACTCCATCTAAAATGTTTTTATGTTTTCCTAACACACATAGAAAATTTATATAGGTCTTTTAGACTCCAAGTCATCTGAAAATATTGAGAGTTCCTTTTTATTCTTCCTCCTCCATAATAAAACTGCTAATAGTTTTTTTTAAAAGAAACTACAATGTATAGTAATACAGGAACACTATCAAGTAATAAAACAAAGAAAATGTGAAAGTCAAGGAAAAACGTGAGCACATTCAAGTCTTACTTGTTCTTTAGATCCCACGGGTGCACAACAGATGTCTCCCTAAACAAAGAAGAAATGTAACAACAATTAAAATGTGAAAATGATGCGATTAAAATACTGCTCATTTAGGTGATGCATATTTTTACTATTTAACTGTAGAAAATGTCAATTTCCAATATGATATGAAATTAGTTGTATTTTGGCATTTTCTTTCATCTTTGCTGCAAAGAGCAATTTAAAATATTCCTTTTAAAGCAACAAGAAGCAAAACATGCATTGATTATTCTGGAAGAGGAATGGGAGGTTTAAATATATTCATTTTCCTTCATCAAAATCATGCATTATGAAAGATAATACATAGATCATCAAATATTAACAAATTAAAACAAATATGTGTTGTAAATATTTGCAAAGCATTCTAACCAAAGGAAATAGTCCTTGCCTTGTAAAACTTTGTCAAGATTTGCTTGGATAACATCACAGGTTCTCAAGAAATATAGACTCCCCCAATTTATGATTAAATAAAAGGGGACAGAGCTAGGTTTTAAATAAGGATGAGGAAGAGACTTGGGAAAATATTAATTAAAAACCTGAAATTTTGTTATTAGTATAATTTTTGTTAGGGTTGAGAAAGACATAAGTTCATGAATGTCTGGAGGTTTGTAATTTACAACCATTCAAAAACTTGTACAACCATGCTGGGATTTTCCCAAAGATGTTCATTAATTTTTCTCACATTAACACTTTTTTTCCCCTTTTTTAGAGAGTGGAAATAGAGAATTAATTGAGACTCTGTGAGCAATTTATCTGGTGGAGTTATTTATTTCTGTAAACTTCTAGCAAATGCCACCTGATCTTGAGTGATATAAAGAGGACCAGTGACTGCCTGCAGACATAGATGAGCAAAGGAAGATGAAAGCAGAAATTTGGGCCACAAAATATACTTTGGAATCGATGCATATGTTTGTTTTCTTGATAGTGATGATGACTTTATAGGTATATACATGTATCCAAACTCGTAAAAGTATCTAACATGCACACTATATGTCAATTGTACCTTAATAAAAGTCTGTAAAAAGAAGTGGAAGGATATGAAATAAATACTTGATAAAAACCGTGAAGTATATGGAAATTAGTGGGGGTTAGAATCATTGCAACTTTCGTTTTAAAAGATTCTTTGGTTGCAGTATAATGACCAGGTCGAGGAGACAGTGATTGGACGTGAAGATGAAATTCTGCAAGGAGGCTTGAACCACCATATTTGCAATGGAGGTAAAGAATGCTGAAATGATCATGATATGGTTAGCAGGAAGAAAGAAAAGGCTGGCCAAGGCATTGGGCACAAGGGTGAGGCAGAACAAGAAGGCAAGAATGAATGCCAGGTCTCTGGCTTGTGCAACTGAATGTACGGTGCTGCCGATGTAGAGAGAGAGAGAAAGAGAGACAGAGATCTTCCATCCACTGCACTGGTTCAATCCCCATATGGCTGCAATAGTCAGGCTGGGCCAGTAAAAGCCGGGAGCCAGGAGCTTATTCTGGGCCTCCTACATGGGTGCAGGGGCCCAAGCACTTGGGCCATCTTCTGCTGCTTTTCCCAGGCTATTAGCAGGAAGCTGGATCAGAAAGGAGCAGCTGGGACATAAATCAGCGCATATATGAGATTCGGGCATCACAGGAGGTACCCTAGCCTGCTATGCCATAATACTTGCTCCAGAGACTTCTTTCTAATGTTTATGTGTAAACCTCCACAATACAGGTAGGAAATGAAAATATAATATTTTACAATTAATGCCCCCTCTTTAATATTTAAATTATTTTCCAAGCCTTTTGGGACATTTAACCTATTATTTAAAAGACATTAATGATGCCATCTAAAGAACATCTCAAATAAATTTTACATTTTGTTATATGCATACTTGTTATATCAAACTATAAATGTAGTATAGAACTTGAAAAAGTTTTCAAAGAAGTCAACACAATTGAACACTCTTTCCTTGTACCATGTATTTCAAATGTGGAAAAAACTGGTGAAGGAAGTCTTAAAATATATACTGCGATGCTTCAAAATCAGCATAGAAACAGAGCTAACTATGTTGGAATAGGAACTTATTATTACAGAAGGAAAATAAATGTAGGAATTTCATGGCTGGGGTGTATTGTGCTTTTTAATGTAATATTTAGTTTGACAATCATCCATAGTAGACTTGGCCTTATCCGTTTCAATTGACTTTACCATTGCTGAGATTTGGGAAAATCATGCAACTGTGCTAACTAAATTTTTGTTTTTTTTTTCATTTCTAAAAAAGAAACTATACAAACAACTTCATGGGATTGAGTGGGGATAGATGAGATCAAGTGCATAAAAATGCTTTGTGCAGGGTAAAGTTCTATAGACTATGGAGATAACACCATCACAATAGTAATAATAATGACACACCATAGCTAAATAACACATATTACTCAGAGGAAATATTCAGTGAACTGAATTTGTGCATCAAATTTCACTCATTGAGAATTTTTCAAGTCATTATGGTTCATGGATAAATAATAGCAAGTTGTCACATTCTAATAAACAAAGTAAATGAAAGGTCCAGGGTCTTCCCATGGTACATTATCTGCACTAAAAAACAATTTTGAAGTATGCTTCACACATCTTTCCCATTTCTCTTTTTATACTTAGCTTCTTTTTAAATATTATAATTGACTTTCTTTTCCCTACTCCCTCTATTATTGCTCACATTCATTATCTCACATTTGGTTATCATTAAAGCATTAAACATCATTTCATAGCTCATTTTTTCAATTTATAAAAATACACTTTTATGAAAAAATTAATATTCAGTGTTGCAAATTTATAAAATACATTGAAGAGAAACATGAAAATGTAAGCCATTTATAATCCTATCACCTAATATAATCCTATTAGTTGATAGTCTCTTTTATATATATTAATATATATTTTTATATATTCATTAATGGTGTTATAGTTCCATTTTTTACTTACTTTTATATGAATATTTAAAAATTTTTTTCTACAATATTGTTAGGTGTTGCACAGTTAAATTTTAATTCTATGGATGAAATGTAATTTGTTACATTCATCAAAGAAGGCTACTGTTTTGGCTGTTTTCACTTGTGTAAGTCACTTTGTGACAATATCATTAATGGTATATATTTGCATGACTCATGATTAATTCCCTAGGATGAACTGCAAGACACCAGCAAGCCAGTATATGAAATTACAAAAATTATAATTCCTATTGACAAAGTGCACGCAACAAAGGTTATCACATTTAACACTCCTACGAGCAAGACATGAGAGCACCTACCTCCCTGCATTGCAGCTAATGGTAGATATGATCATTCTTTATTTCTTGCCAAAATGACAAATAAAATTATATATATGAGGCAGGTGTCTATCCCATATATCAGTGCCTGGTTCGAGTCCCTGCTCCTCCATTTCCAATCCAGTTTTCCTGCCATGCGCATTCAGGAGGGAGGGGTGATGGTGCAAGTGCTTGGGTCCCTGCCACCCGTTCTGCACATGTGGATTGAGTTATAGGCTCCTGTCTTCAGCCTGACCCAGCCCTAGCTGTTCTGGGCATTTAGGAAGTTAACCAGGGATGGAAGATCACTCGCTCTCTGTCTCTCTGCCTGTCAAATAAAATGAAAATAAATTGAATTTTAAAGTAAATGTTTTACATGGTTTTGATATGTATTCCTCTGGTTGTCGGTTGTGTTGAAAAGTTTTTCATTTGTTTTCCTTAGTTTCTGAATTGCTGATTTAGCTGATCTGAGTGCAATTTTTTTTTTAAGATTTATTTTATTTATTTGAAAGACAGAGTTACAGAGAGAGGTAGAGACAGAGAGAGAGGTCTTCCATACACTGGTTCACTCCCCAAATGGCCACAAGGGCCAGAGCTGCGCCGATCCGAAGCCAGGAGCCAGGAACTTCTTCCAGGTCTCCCACATGGGTGCAGGAGCCCAAGGACTTGGGCCATTTTCTACTGGTTTCCCAGGCCACAGCACAGAACTGGATCAGAAGAGGAGCAGCCGGGACTAGAACTGGCACCCATATGGGATGCCAGCACTTGAGGCCAGGGCGTTAACCTGCTGCGCCACATTGCTGGCCCCACAAAAGTCTTGATACCCACTGAGCAGAAAGTTTTCTTCACTTTAATTTTTCAGTCAGAACTGTGTAAGATGAACCAATTCAGATGTCTCTGGCATTAGATATTGTTTCTACTGTTAATAATCTGTCTTCTTCAGTTAGAGGATGGACAAGAATAATATTTTCCTCACAAAGTCATGTGGATGGTTGGCTACTGTGGGCTTCAACTTCAATACCATCTCATCCCTTAAGATGGGTTATCCATTAGTAAAATGCTAACTTTTTGGGAAATCGTTCCCTCTTCCCCACAAATTTTCTTAAAGTCTCAATGACATCAACATGCTTTCACCTCAACTTCACTATAAATGTATGTCTCAATTTTAGCAGTATTCATGTTCCCCTGATAGGGGCACTTTTCTTAGAGATGTATATACTTATTTGAAAGTCAGAGAGAGAGAGAGAGAGCAAGCAATCAAGAGAGAGGAGAGAGAGGGAGGGAGGGGGAGACGGAGGGGGAGGGAGGGAGAGAGAGAGAGAGAGAGAGAGAGAGAGAGAGAGAAAGTGCTTTCATCTGCTGGCTCACTCCCCAGATGGCCGCAATGGTTGGGGATAGGCCAAGCGAAAACTAGGAGCCAGGAGCCAGGAACCAGGACAAGAGTTTCTGCCAGGTCTCCCAGGTGGGTGCAGAAACTTGGGGTATCTTCCACTGCTTTCCCAGGCCATGAGCAGGGACCTGGACAGACACCCATATGGAATGCTAGTGTCTCAGGCAGTGGCTTAGCCCTCTAAGCCACAATGCCCAAAAGGAGATTTTTTTCAAACTGATATGTTATTCTTGTTGGTGCCTCAAACTAGATTTTGTTCAGACATGTTACAACCTAGTAATGGTTTATTTTAGTGCAAAAATTTCTGAAATTTGTACATAAGTTTTCTTTTCATTTTTGTTTTT